AGGAACCACACAGATAGGTCCTGGAACTGAGCACAGGCCGCAGAGATGGAGACCGTGGTGAGGGAACGAGCCCTGGTCAAGACAGCCAATCAGAGCCCGGAAGAGGAACACGGCGACTGTGACAAGGGCACGAGGTCAGGGAGGACACAGCCTTTACCCACCTGGTGCTGAGGCACCCAACACCTTCAGGCGAAAAATAAAACAACATAAACCTTGACCTAAACCTCACATCTCACACAAAACGTACCTGAACGTGGATTTGAGATTTATTACTTTTTTAGTAATTCTTTATTGTTGAAAAGATTACATGTCCCCCTTTTTCCCCCTCCAGCCTGCCCCTGCCGCCCCTCTCCCCCAGGCCTTCACCACCCTATTGTCTGTGTCCATGGGTGATGCATATACACAGACAAAGTCTTTGGTTGATCACTTCCCATCCCACCCCCACCCCCGCCTTCCCTGAGATTCCACACTCTGTTCCCTGCTGCCGTGTCTCTGCAGCCACTCCGTTCATCATTGGATTCCACATGTGAGACCATGTGACACTGTCTTTCTCTGACCTATTTCACTGAGTGTGATGCTCTCCAGGTCCCTCCATGCCGTCTCAAGGGTAAGAGATTCTTCTTTCTCAAAATTGCTGCAGCTATTCGGGCTCTTTTTTGATTCAGTATAAATTTTTGGAGTATTTGTTCTAGGTCTGTGAAATAGGCTGTTGATATTTTAATAGGGATTGCATCGAATCTGTCGATTGCCTTGGGTAGTATGGACATTTTAATGATGTTGATTCTACCAATCCATGAACATGGGATATTCTTCCACTTGTGTAGATCTTCTTCTATCTCTTTGTTCAATGACCTGTAGTTTTCTGAGTATAAGTCTTTTGCCTCCTTGGTTAAGTTCATTCCTAACTTAATTTTTTTGTTGCAACGGTAAATGGGACTGTTCGTTTAGTTTCTCCTTCTGAGAATTCATTATTGGTGTATAAAAAGGCCACTGATTTTTGGGTGTTGATTTTGTATCCTGTTACATTGCCAAATTCATTTATTAAATCTAGTAGTTTTTATTTTGGTGGAGTCTTTAGGGTTTTCTATGTACAATATCATGTGAATAATGAGAGTTTTACTTCCTCCTTTCCAATTTGAATGCCTTTTATTTCTTCTTGTTGGATTAGAGACTTAAATGTAAAATGTGAAACTATAAAACATTCAGAAAAAACAGAAGTGAAAATCTTTGATACTTAGGGTCAGGCCAGGAGTTTTCAGAGTTGGTATCTAAAAAAAGGTGTTCCATTGAAGTGATTAATTGGACTTTACCAAAATTAGGAACTTCTGTTTTATTAATGACACTGTTAAGAGGAAAAGACAAGCTAGGGACTGAGCCAATATACACTGACCAGACTGGCAAATGGAAACGCCAAGAACATAAAGAACTTGCCAAAGTCAAAAAGAAGGAGCTGGTGACAGGTCTGAATGGCGCAGAGGATCGCGCTGCCAGCGGAGTCCAGCATGGGCAGCCACGGGAAACAGGTGATGCCAAGACAAGGCTGGGCACACCCCGTGCTGACACGGAGGACACAGAGGAACCCAAACCTCTCATTCTCACCCCACCGGCCTCCCTAAGCTCCACACAGGCTTATGCGTGGCCTCGGAGTGGCGCCCGGCCCTCCCTGAGCGTGGGCGCTGAAGCCACACAGCCGGCTCCACGTCACAGCCGCTCCAGGCACAGCGCCCACAGCAAGCAGAGTCCTCAGCAGGCGGGCGGTCCCCGCAGGCCCACGCCTCCTCGGTGCGCTGAGTACGGCCGCAACCTCACAGGTGCTAAGCCGGGTGAGCCCAGGTGAGGAGCCACCGCCCACTGTCCTGCCGGCCCCACGTGGCTCTCCAAGGGAAAGGCCGACCCTCCCCTGGGCCAGCTCCTCAGCCCTGCGCTCAGCTCTGCCGGTAACAAATGGTCGTGGTTTCCTTGATCTGACAGCACGACATCCCTCCATCCCCGAAGGACACTTCCTCGACCGCTGCTGACAGCTCCCCCTCGGAACCTGGTGTGTGCAAGGCATCCTGGCCTCCTGGCTGCGGGTGAGCCGTGGTCGCTGTCACTTGTGCTGCTCCCTCACTCCTGTCAGATGCTCCCTGCGTCTCTGACTCAGGGACTAACTGGGAGGGGCCATGGGTGGTTTTCTAGGGTGGGCTCACCCACACTCGGCTCCTGGGGTGTGCCCACCCACCTCCCCTCTCCCACCAGGACTCCACCTGGAAGGCCGCCTGGCTGTCCCCAGGACCTGCGGCTCCGTCCTCGCTGCTCCTTCCGGGTCGGCCTCCCCTCTGACAGTGACTGCTCCTGACCTGCCTGAGTCACGCCTCTGCCCTGGGGCCTGCTGCTGAGACAGCCAGCGAGTCCTGCCCCGGTTACTGTACCGTCCAGGTCTGCACTTTGATCCTTGGAAAACACTCTTTTCTATTCTTTTGTTGAGGGTTACACTCTTGCATTTGTTAACAAGGATACATACTTTACTGAAGCCGTTTTACACCGGCTCGAGCGTCCTGGTCGGTCAGGGTGCCAGTGACGGCTGTCCTGGCTCTCGGCGTGACTCCTGGCGCCGGACACAAGGAGAGGCTGTGTCCTGCTCGCCCTGGGCCCCACACTGTGAGGTCTGCGTCCCCATGCCTCCCGGCCAGTGGCCCCTCTCAGGCGGGGCTGTGCCTGGGCCTGCTGTCGGATGTTGCCCTGTGGCTCCTGGCAGAGGACGAGGGTGGACAGGGCCCTGCTCGGGCTGTCAGCGCGTCGACCCGCCTGTTAAAGCGCAGCCACAGCTCGAGACTTGGAGCGCAGCTCCCGGCAGCAGGAGCGGGAGCCAGGCAGCTCCAGCTGAGGCCCGCTTGTCCCTAAAGGAGCGGTTTCGTCTGTACGTAGTTTTACATGTGCCTGGGACAGACCCATGAACTTAGTAAGTTATACAGCCAACGCGCTTTCTACACAGATCCATGTGCATGCGTGTGTATGTGTATGTGTGTGTGTGTGTGCGCGCGCACGACAATGGTACCACCTGTGTGTCCTTCCAGAACCTCTCCCCACACGAGGCGGCAGCAGCAGGAGGGAGGGGTGGCATGAAGGCCCGAGGCCCTCACATAGCATAGGAGGGGGGATGGAGCAGGAAGGCTGGGCTGTGGGGCACCCTCTTCAGGGTGTGTCAGTGGCCCTCCCCCAGCCTGCCCCCCCAAAACCAGAAAGGCTGCCCCTCTCATGCCCCGTGTGGATTCGTGGGAAAGACACAGCACACTGCCTAGACTGGCCCGAGGGCGGTGGGCCCACAGCAGTCATCACACTGGCGACAGGGGACATGGAGGCACGAGGACACGGCTGGGCATTTTCTGTGATGGGCGGGGCAGCCGCCTGAGAGTCTGGCCCAGAGTGGGGACACTGTACAGAAGGTGCTGGAAGCTGGGGCACCTGGCGGTTTTGGATGAGACAGACATGGAGACATGAACGGGGCGCAGGGGTGAACCCTGGCCAGGGAGGAGGGGCCACTGCACGCCCTGCCTGGCCGGGGTCCTGTCCCTGTGCTGGGGCTCCTCCTAGAGCCCGTCCTCAGCCTGCTGCCAGGCTCAGGGGAACCCCAAACGGGCGGCGGGCATGAAGTCAGACCCACTCCAGCCCCCCAAGGGCAGCTCCTCCTGGCGGAGCGTGTCCACAGATGGCGGCCTGATTTCTGTTAAGGAGCCAGTCGCTTCCCACAGCTGATTCCCCTCCTAACACGTCAAGATGTTGATGATAAAGCCTTTATCTTAGATTTTACAAAATAAGCAAAAATGACTAAGTCCAAAGTGTGCCAGCCCACAAACGCTGGACGCAAGCCTAGCTGCGCTCAGGCCCATGCAGATGCGACCGTCTGAGAGTGAGCAGCAGTGGCGGCACGGGCCCAGGCTCCTGGGTGGCTCCTGGGAGGAGGCACCACCCCTGCCAACTGGGGCTGGGGATTGAACCTGAAGCTGAGGCACGTGCCTGTGACTGGTAAGCGGACCGATGACCCTTTGGGCTGAGGGCTGGCGCTCTAACCATTGAGCACTGGCCAGGGCTGTGCTTACTCTTCACCCTGCACCCAGAGAGTTTGGGGGACAGTGTCCACTTGCCCATCGGCCACTGGGGACCCAAGCAGCCGGGAGCAGGCGGTCAGCACGGCCTTCGGAGGACCTTCCTAAGGACGAGCCGCGGGTCCAGGTGGGAAAGGGGCTGGGAAAGGACTGCGGCGCCTCCTCCCGACAGCGCGGGTGCCGGAGGGGCCAGGGAAGCGGACAGTGTCCATGGCCGCGCAGAGGGGAGCCGCCTCGCAGGAGGAAGCGTCCGGGCGGCTGCTGCTCTGCGAGCAACTGTCCCTGGAACCGGGAACACACACCTGCTGCCCTGGAGGCCGCAGAGGCCGAGGGCTCTGCTGGCCACAGACAGGCCCCGGGCACTGGGCAGGAGCCCAGCTCTCTGAGCCCCGGGACACCGAGCCGGCCAGCGCCAGCCTGCAGAAGGACGGGAAAGGCCCGCCGTGGGCCGTCTGTGCAGAGGAGCTGAGCGTAGGGCAGGGGCTGGAGGAGACAGTGGCCCCGGAAGGTGGGGCGGGGAGCTGGCGGGTGGGATGTACCTGAGCTCGCTCGCCTCCTCCCGGGACAGCAGGACGCTCTGCTCGGTGGGGCCCGCCTGGGCCTGCAGCACCTTCAGCTCCATCTCCAGCTGCGGGAAACAGCACAGGGTCAGCCGGGCGCGCGGGAGTCCCTCCAGACAGAGGCCCTGCACGCGTTTACCTCCCAGCCACCCATTGAAGCAGCTCCGTAAACACGTCGCATGTACCAGGAGGAGGTCCAGGAGGGTGTGCAGAGGCTGCTGGGAGCTGAGCATGAGGACGGTTCGGTGGGCGACTGGGTGAGCAGCTGGGTTATGGGAACGGGGCAGGGGGTGCCCTCAGCCAGGCCTGCTGGAGCAGGGCTCCCGGCCATGTGCGCTGGCTCACGTGCTGTCAGCCAGCGCAGGGTGACAGGAAGACAAATGCACTCACCCTGCAGCCTGCAACCACCCGTTCACACTTCACGAGAAAAATCCGCATGGAATTGCTTTAGAAACAACACGGGACTAACTGATTGCATCTTCTGAGAGAGCCCGCTAAACGCCCGAAGCCGGGAACCCTGTCCCAGGACCGTCCTCCTCCCAGTGAAAGGACGGCACCCGCCGGGCACAAGGCGGCCGGGACGGGAGCAGACGGGCCCTGGGCCTGCTGCTGGCAGAGCCCTCTTCCTTCCGAATCACATCTCCAGGAGAGAGGCCCGGCCCGCACATGTCCCATCTCCAAAGCGAATGCACAGATTGACATTCCTTCTCGGCGCCTCTCCTGAGTGAAGAGCACAATTCCCCGCAGGGCCTGCTCCAGGCGAACCAAGTGCCAGGGGAGCGGCTGCCGCTTAGACCACTGCCCGGGAGCTGCCGGGAGCTGCATGACACGGGGAGGAGGGCCTCCCGGGCCCCCAGGAGCGCCAGACGAGCGAGCCCTCAGCACCCGAAGGCCCTGGGCCAACGGCTCATCCTCAGCTGCTGAGGCCCCTGCTCCTGCTCTGCAGGGAGACACTGGTCACGGCGCCGAGGGGCACAGCACCCGTCACAGCCCAGCCCTCGGCAGCTGGGAGCATCCTCCTGCCTGTGAAGGGGGCACCCACCTGCTTCCCACAGGAGCGGAGGGTTAACCCAATGCTCCAGGCGCCTCCAAGAGGTGCTGCCTGGGGGGCGGGGCGGGCACAGCTCTGTGAAAGCCATGAGAGGGGAGGCCCAAGAGCTGAGCACTAACGGTCTTCCCGGCCACAGGGCTTGCCCAGGGTCTCGGGGTGAGGTTTGGCGGGTGAGGCCGGTGGGGCCTGTCTGCGGAGGCGGTGGCGGATCTGAAAGTTCCTGCTACAGAAACGGCCTCCCCCAGGTTCCTCGGCTGAGGGGCCTCTGCTGGGTCTCAGGGAAACACAGCCCCGTGTCTGGGCACAGGGGGCACAGCGGGCACAGCAGGCACAGCGTGCACAGGGAAGCCCAGTCGGAGATGGGCAGGAGACGTGCTGCAGCAGCCGGGTCCCCTCACAGGGAACGAGCACGGGCAGACCCGGGCTTCCGAGTATCAAGGGGGTTCCACGCCCCACAGCCGCCGTGAGGGTGAGGACTCGGACCTGATCCGGAAGTGGCAGCGTGGCTCCCGGCACAGGGAGCCTGGGACTGAGCGCTGAGGCCGGGAGTGTGAACGGGAGAAGTGCCAGCACTGAGAACAGCCAGGACCAGGGCGGCCGCGGGTCCCTGGCTGGAACTCCTCCCATCAACGTGGCGGTGAGCCCGCCACCCTGACGTGGTGCCGTCCCAGAGGCGACATCTGGGACAGCGGGTGAGGCCGCTGGGACCTTCGCTTTCCAAGTCTGAGTGCCACCTTCCTGGCACCCTGCGGGGCCCAGGGCGGGTGTGGAGCTGCCACCAGGGAAAGGCAGCGCAGGCCCCTGACACAGCGGGCACCAGCCTGGGCCTGACAAGGAATGTGCGAGGGACTGACCGAGGCCAGGGAAGGAGCCGCCTAGGTCTCGGAGGGAGGGACTCACCCGCCGCCCGCCCCGTCCTGCCCCGCCCCCGGGCTGACCCCGCAGGGCTCCCCTGGTGGCCAGGAGCAGGCCCACGGGACCACTGGGGAAAACGGGGCTCAAGGAAGAGGACGGCTTCCTTGCAGGCGCCGTGAGGGGTAAGGGCATCTTAAATCAGAAAACGAGTGGCTACTCTCCTCCCTGAGGCACACTCAGCCTCAGAGGACGCTTGTGCTTTTCCAGCCGCGGCCAGGGCTCGCGGGGGAGGGGTAGGTGGAGGGGGGGGACACACAGGCCAGGGCAGCGCTCCCTGCGATGGCCGCTCCTTAGAGAGGAGGTGGGTGCGCTGCGCTGATGAATGGCAGCCACACTGCGCGCCTGTCACTGTGGGGAGCTGAGGTGTCGAGGCTTCTCCTCCCCTCCTCTCCTGAACTAGCGCTCACGTGGCCAGAAACCAGCAGGCGAGGGAGGGGCTGCGGCTGAGAGAGGCACCAGGAGGGGCCGTGCCCAGCGCCCGGGCAGAGGCCTGCAGCGGTGGCCACCCTGAGCCCTGCTGTCCTGGGACTAGACCCGCCGCAGCAGGGAGGCTGCCACTGGAATGGGGCCCAGCAGGGCCCTGCCAGCGCCCACATGCGTTCTCGTTTGTCTGGAGGGACCAGGCATCATATGTTTTAGTCCCGGGGGCTTGACCAGGGACAGAGACTGTGTGGCCAAAGTGAGACCCGCACAGGTCGCATGCAGCTGTCCTGCAGCCCCTTGTCCCAGGGCTGATGGCATGGCCCTGCAGCCCGGGCCAGAGCACTGCTTTCGGGCCCCCGACTCCGCCACCCGCCCAGGCCTATGTCGGTGCCGGAGCTGCCTGACGGGGCTCAGCCTCAGGCTCTGCCTCCTCGACCGTGAGGCTCCAAGGACACGAGGCCACGGATGCTCCGCTGGCCTTGACTCCGGCTGCAGCCTGGCGCCCCATGTCCAAAGCATCTCAGACCCAATGTTTCCCTCCAAGCTTGCCCTCCCCAAGCTTCCCTGACCCCTGACCCTGATGTCACCCCTGACCCCGGGCCCTCTACCTTCAGTGTGAGCAGTCCCCAGCACTGCCCGGCCACCCCTCATCTTCCCCTGCCAGGCCCTGCACACAGCCACCCTTGGGCTCCAGGGGTGCAGTCCCGTCTCCTCCTCCAGGGCCCCCTCACGGTGGCCGATTCCAGGCCCTCCCAGCAGCCCTACCCTGCAGTGGGGGCGACAGCGGTGGCAACAGCAAGGACGTGACGGACATGCAAATTCAAGGACATGTCACTTCAACAGAGGGCACCCTGCTCAAGATCAGGGAGCTGATGGAAGCGGGCGAAGACGCAGGAGCAGAGCTCTGGCCCGTGACACGGTCCCCGGCCGCCCAGTGCCAGCAGCAGCCTTGCCCTCACCT